GTGGCTCACAGAGGGAAGAGCTCTCTGAGCTCTGTCAGTCATCCAGCAAAGCTGGAGCAGAGCCACGTGCAGCAGGAGATGCCTTAGTGCTGGCTGGCTTCCAGCTGTGCAACCTCTCTGTGCCCAGCTCTGGTCAGTGCCAGCAGCAGGTCAGGGAGAGAACCCAGTGAGTTGTGCTCACTGCAGTGGAGATGCTTCCACTGTCACCAACCCAAAATTTCCTCTGGACAGCACTGACAGCTGGTGTGTGTCTTGGGGTGTTGGGATAAGCATTGTGACAAGGATTGATACCTATGACTGAATATGTAATTGCTAATTTAGGAACCCCAGTAAGTGGCCACACCCTCAGGAGTAAAGATTTTAACTAAACAATCTTAAAGTTTTATTTGCATATATTCCAGCTCCTGGGATGAATGTTTTTGGCCTGTGAAGGGTTGGTCTAATGCCAAGAGAGCCAAGGTATTAAAACACACAGTGAGAGAACCTGCCTTGATTGTCTGTTTTTCTTTTAACAGAAACTTGGTACCCTCTTCCAATCGTGGAGTTGATCCATATGTTCGTATATACCTGCTTCCAGACAGAAGATGGACAAGCAGAAAGAAAACTTCTGTTAAGAAAAAAACTCTGAACCCCCAATATGATGAGAAGTAAGAAAATGTAAATTGTTATTATGGTTGGAATAGTTATGATCTCTGTGTAATGACAGGGCTTCTTAAGGTGTGCTGGTGTAGCTCCTAGGGACTCTCTTGTGAACATTTCCAGCTTTTCTGAAACAAATGGCACTTGGACTGTCACAAGTACTTGGGGCTGGCCTTGCTCTGCCTGTGGTGTTGTAAATACCCCAGAAGAAGGGTACACCTTCTTCCCTGCCCCTTCCCTACCCCCAGGCTGCATTTGCTTCTCAGCAAACTGACATTGTCCTGCTGTGTTTAACTCCCTGTCATGGCAGAGGCAATCTACCCATTCAGGAACCTCCCAGAGCCTACTGCTCTGTTCACACTGCTTTGCCTGATGCTTATTCTAACATCTTTCCAAAGGTCCAGGCAGAAGTAAAGAGCCTTTTGAGGCTGGAGCACCCTTTGGGCACACAGGTGGATGTTGTCATCAAGGCCTGGTGGGAGCAGGGTAAAATGCTCCCACCTCTTTGCTGACAGTGTCACAGCTCTGCCACTGAAATGGAATGTGTTTTGCATAAACCCAAACACAGTAACACTTAGAAGTAGAGCTCTTTTGAGAGGTGGTTTTAATCCCATAATTAGAGGAAGGTGCACGTGGATGTATGTGAATATTGGTTGATCCTGAGTGGCTTATATTTTTCCTGTCTTATGTCCTTTCTGTATAAGTCAGAAATGGAGAAAAGATTTTAAAACATTCCTTCTTAACACTCAAAACACCAAAGCTGAAAATTCTGCTTTGTCTGTTCTTAAGTAACTGCACTGATTTAGTGCCATCCCAACAGCTGAGAAGAGCATCTCCTTTTCCCCATCCCTGACGTATCCTGTACATCCTCAATTAAAGATAATGCTTAGCTCCAAAACACCTTACCTGTTTCACAGCTCTGACTTGAGGAAAAGCTATTCAGGTGGGCAGAACTGGAGTGATTTAGCATGGACAAAACTCACTTGACATTAGCCATGTGTGCCAGAAGCTTGAGTCAGAGCCATTAAGAATTTAATTGCCACAGGTTTCAGCCTTTGTCTGTTCTTGGTGTGGTGCAAGGCTGCTCTGTGAACCTGGGGGGGTGGCTCATGACTATTTCCTCTTGAGTAATGAACATTGCATGGAAAACATGCTGATCTTCCATGGAGGGGGGGAAATAATGTTAAATGCCATTTCATCATGGGTGCATGTTTTCCTCCTTCCCCCTGGCACGGTGGACAGTCTGAACACAGTGTTGTTATCTTTCATGAGGCCTGGAAAAGGTTCCCTGCAATGTGGATAAAACTTCACTCTAGAATTGCCTTTTCTGTGTGTTCCTTCCCTGTTAGAGTCCTGGCCATTGATGCTGTACTCTGTCTCTATATTCTGTCCACTGGTGCTCACAGGATTTTAGGTTTTGCCTTAAGTCTCTTCTTTATTTCAAGGTTTGAATTTTTTGAATCTTTGGAAAATGTCAAGAAAAGGACACTGGACATTGCAGTGAAAAACAGCAGGCCATTCATTTCACAGGAGAGGAAGGAGCTGGGGAAGGTAAGTCTAAAGAATCTCCACTACAGATATAACAGAGCTGAACACTCCAGGCTATTCCTGAAATCCTCAAATGTGGCTCCAGTAACTGATTCACAGTGATAGGACTGGCAGTCTGGAAGCAATTTTTTTCTGCCAGATTTTTCATCTCAAATGAGGCTGTATCCATGTGGGAGCTCTGTGGTCTCATTTCAGAAGGGTGCTCCTGAAGTAAGCCTGGTTCCCGGGCCCTGGTGCTGCCTGTATGGGGAATGGCTCCAAAAGTGCAAACACAGAGCTGAGAAAGGACTAAACCCCACAATTTGCCAGCACTGCTTTGACTTTCTGTGAACAGCTTTGATTCTGTGAAAAGTAAACTGCAATTGCTTCTTCAGTGACAGATAAATTTCCAAGTAGTGCAATAGGAAATGGAACTGGTTCATGCCTACACTATGCTGGGAATGTGGGAAGCTCCATTTTTCCTCAAGCCTGAACTGCAGCCCCACAGCTGGAAAGTGGGTCTGGCTTGGGAGGAGTGGTAGCTTAGCTGAACAATTTATATGCTGAATAACCTACAAACAAATAAAATTTGCTTTTTAAAGGTGCGCATTGACTTGTCCCGGGAGGATTTAATAAAAGGCTTTGCCCAGTGGTAAGTACTCATCTCCATACTTCCAAACCTGCCCATTGCTTGCATGACTGCTGTGGGAGTGAGTGCTGGTAACTGGGCTGTATTTGGGTGAGCAAGAAGAATATCTGACCTGCAAAGGCAGGACTAACTTGAGCTAATCTGGTAGTTCTATCTAAATTGTGTGTTAATCCATTGGCTGTGCAGTGCCTGCCCTGTGAGACAGCTTTAATGAGATGCCTGTGTCAATTATAGTCTTCAGCATATTTTAAGTTGCCATAAAAGCCACAGGGGCACATAAGTAAAAGAATTTTGTTTATTAAAGTAACCTGGCAACAAATTTTAACTTGAATAAAGATCTTAACTAAATACTCTGATCAGCAATATATATGTATGATAAAACTTTAATTACAAAGCATTTATAGAAACTATTATAATGAGCCACTTAGAGTTTTGCTTGTGCGTTAGTTGTGGTTCTGAGGTTTGTATGTTCCTGGTCTGAGGCAGAACAGAGAACCAGGCTTGGGTGTTTTTTTCACTTCTCTGTCTTTAGTAAATGGCAGGAGTCCTTCCTTCTTTCTCCTTCAGTGGAGCCCGAGGAATGTAGTGTGGGGTAGTCCAGGAGCTTGCCATCTGCACAGGCAGTGAGCCAGTATTCCAATAGGAAAACCCCATTTCCCTGGCCAGTCTGTGTGTGTGTGTCTCAGGGCAATTATGGGAAGAGGAAAAAAAGATGCACCCAAAGTTCCTGGTGAAGAGCTGAAGTTTGAGGCCATCTCTGGAGCCTCCTTTGCTGTGCTGCCTGTGAAGCAGAAGCAAGAAATCAGCCCAAGTTTTCTCTACTGTGCCAGTTAAAACTGTTAAGGTTTTCAACTACAGTAATTACTTATTGTGTTTGTCTTGCAGGTATGAGCTGACAAGGAGCAGACGCAAGAAAATCTGATTTCTTCTCATGTACATAAGTTACTAATTTTTCAACTTCCTATGGATGTATATATCTCTTGTAATTAACATGTTTTGCATAGTCATTGCAAATTTGAAGCAGGCTCCAGCTCAGGACATGCAAATTTAATGATCCTATTCAGGGATTAGTTCTCACTGAAGTTAAACATATTTTCCCCCACATAGGGAATAATTTGTCCTTAAAGAATAAGTCCTTAATTTTTGCTATTTCTGGCAAATCCCTCCTCAAAGGACCTTTAAGTGTGAAACCTCTCTTAAAGAAGGGTTGTACCTGGGGAGATTTTAGACTGTCAGCCAAGTGTCATTACTTTGCTTGGCAGTCTGATGGCCCTAGGAACTTGTTCATGTTGTTTTAACATGGCAGTGGTGTACTTTTAAAAGAATACATTTTGAAACAGTATTCTTCAGCTCTAGGGCTAGAGAACCTTTTAAAAGAGAAACTCATTAACAGCTATTTTTTTTGATAAACTAAGAAGTTGGTAGTACACTGTTCAAAAGTACCTTAGCTGACTGTGGCTGCAGGTATGTAAATAATGAGCTTCCAAAAGCAGGGAGATGAACTCACCAAGATGTCATTAAGGTTTTAGTTTGTGACACCTTAACTGGTTTTGTCCTTTGTTACAGTACATTTCAAAATCTTGTAAACCCAGATTCTGTCTGAGGAACAGCAAAGTTTTGTAAACTAAGCTTTAATAATATTGAGGCAAAATATTTTTGGAAGCTTGGTGTGCTTGTTTCTGTACAATAAACTTCTAATTGTCTTGCATAAGAGACTTGATCTAATCCTTTCTAAAACTGACTTTTGGAATACAACGATGGTAACTTCAAACCATTGCCTGAAGCAAATTTCAAAGATTTTTGGCCTAGATTTTTGGCCAAAATTAAAATTATGGGATTACATTAACCCGGTCTGCCTCAGTCCATAATCAGAGAGAATACTCACTGAGTAACAATGTTTCTATCCCAAACTGATCTGGAAATGTGAACCACATTTTAAAATAGGCTCTCAGGAAAACCAAGATTGAGGATTTGTGTAAGTGTGCTGGCTATGACAGTAAGGGCATCTTTACCTCATACTTACTGTGTCAGCAATATTAAAAGTGGTTAGAGTTTGTGCTGGGTGTTGTGCTGGGTTCAGTTTCCTGGACTGATACAGAGTATATTGGTTCTTTCTCTGGAATTGAGTAGACCAGTTGACAGCAGTTAAAGTTTTTCTTAAATTGACCAAGAATTTAAAAAAAAATTAAAAATGCAGTAACTTTTATTTAAGTAAAAAAATTCTGGAAGTGTTGCTTAGGAGGTAGCTGCAATGTCATGTGCACCAGCAGGTACATTCACAGGTAAGAGAAATCTTGTTCAGGAAGAGCAGAATCACCCATAACCAGCTCCCCATTTCAGGTTTTGCACTGCAGGTAAAATATCATCCACGTTACTGATCTCTGCAACAGAATGGAAAGCAAAAGGGTTAGGCTTATGAACCCAGAACACCTTGAGTTCAACCAAAATTCTAACTTAAACAGATGGTGAATTAAATAAACTCCTCAGGCTTTTTAATGCTTTCAGAAAAAAATCAATTAGGCTTGTAAGTAATATGCTTAAGTAAATGCAACCCCATGTTAAATGAAAAGAAAGTGTTTTGGTCACTTCCTGAGGAAAGGTGGAAAGGAGAGTGAGGCAAAGGCAGCACATTCCCTCACATCCTCCTTCTGTTTTAGCACAGCAGGAGTAAAGAAAACATGTGTTAACTGTTTAGAGTTATATGAGGAAGTGTTGGCATGAAGATAATTATTGTTGAAAATATTGCTCACCTAGAAGACACAGCAAATCTTGAATGAGGGCTTGAAAGGGTGGAAAGAAGCACTCATGTTCTTCAAGCTTATTGATGATACTGGAATGGAAAGTGAGACAATCAGGTAAGAGGTGCAAGGACGTGGCAAGTTCATCCCTTTGGTCATTTTGTTGTTCTGTACCATGACTTTGTGAAAATACTGCTACTTAGTACATAAAACCATGGACACCAATGTTCTGTTCTCCAGTTCTGAACCCTGCAGCCAACAAGGGAGCTGTCATGAGGATCTCTGATTTCACTACTAACACTGTATACACATCCTTCCTTTCCCCCTCACATGGCTCCAGGTAGTCTGGGGCCTGGAACATTTGTCTGTGTATGCTAAATATACTGCCTGGGGGTGGCTGGTATAACTGCCTTGGAGGTAGAGCAAGAAATGCTTTATAAGCAGCTGTTCTCCAGTTAAAACTGAGAAATGAGTGCAGAAAGGTTGAGGGAGTGAGTATTGTTAACTCAGCATGTGTCAGACTTGCTGCCTGCTCCCTTTTTAGTTTGTCTGTAAAGCACATGCTGAATGCAAGCCCTCAGGGTCTGCTACACCACCTAGATGTGGCTGTTACCTGTTGAACATATAACTGGATTTGTCCAGTTTCTAAAGTATTTGTAGGCAGCTTGAGGCAAACCCTGCCTTGGCAACTAGAACACTTCAATGTTACATCTGAGACTTGCATCACTTTCTCCTCCCCACCCAGGTGCCAGATTTGTCTCCTGATGAAACATGTATCCCATTAAGGCTTGTTTGATCACATTATCCATGCAAACCAGAGAGTGTTTTGGAACCTTCTGGCCTCAATTTTTCCCTCTGTCAACTTCATCTTTTTGACAGGATACAAGATTTGTTTCAAGCAGGACAGCAGTAACTAACACCTGTGCTGTTGCAGCTCACTGACTTTGTAACAAATGATGAAAGTTTCTTTCAGCATCAGTTTTTGCCAGTTCTCAATTACTACATTTGATGTTTGCAGACTGGTCAGCAATGGAACAGCCCCACATACCTGTGGATGTCTTGGGTGCCCAGAAGCTGCTGTACCTGCTCAGTCACGTTCTTATTAATGATGTCACACAGTTTCCCAACAGTATTCACTACCACAGTGGGTGGAGCTGAACTGTCTGTGGAAAAACAAACACCTCATGATTCTTTTAACAGTAATGACAGGGAAGTATTTTAGACACAGCTGAAATTTTGCAGGTGCACAGATTTTATTTGGTTTTCATAGATCTAGGCATATACATTCCATCATTCAGAGAAAACAGAAATAAACAAATGGTCAGAAATAAACAAATGTTAGCTAGGAATGGGGATTCTCTCAGTAATCCTTTAGTGGCTAAAAAAACTTTGGCAGAGCTGTGTGTTCACAGCAGAGAGGGTACTAAAGTGCATCCTTACAATGTCAGTGGAAATCAGCTAACTGAAATTATATATAGAGAGAGGGGGTTATTAAATTAGGTTCTTGTGACACAGCAGACACACTGCAGGGACTAGGCCAATAAGGAACCTGCTTAACAAACATGGAAATGTTTGGAGGAGGATGTTTTTTGTTAACACCCAGAACTTGTTTTGGTATTGAATTTTAACCTGTCTGTAGTGCTGTGACTGAAGGTAGCAGCCTCTTTGTACTTTTCTCCTTCAATTTCAGAAGAACTAAGCCTGGACAAGGCATCTTCTGAGCTGCAGTTATTAGGGGGAGGTGAGGTTTCCTCCTCTCCCATGCTGGCTGCAGGCAGGAACACTGCTTCCCTCCTTGAATGAGGCTCAGCAGCCCAGAGGCTCTGGGGCTGGACATCCTACAGCCCAGCCCAACCTTTTAACCCAGCAGCAGCAGCAGCTGCTGTTCTACAGAAGTTTACCACCAGAAGGGAAATAACCAACTACACCTCTGAGTACTGACAGTTTTTAACATTCAACAACTTGTTTTGAAGTTTAGCAGCATAAGATGGAACTTTCTGAGGACTGGACCCAATTACAGTTGAATGAATTACTGAGGAGAAATCTACCTCCGAGACAGAGTTATTTTCTTCCTTAAATTTGTTATCTTTCAAGTGAAGAATGAACAACAATTATGAAATCAGCTCACCAAAAAAAAGCTTTGTGGAAAAAAAATTTCTATTTCCCCTGTTATTCTCATCTGCCTCCCTGTTACTCCTCAGCAACTACTAAAGGCCTACAAATAATGGGGATTTGCTATTTGAGCTATAAATTGACAGGAACATGTTTTTGTCTTCCCAGTGAAGGAAACACCTAGTTAATTCATTTCCCAACAGCTCAACATTATTTTCTATGAAGAGGGCAGCTTTTCACCTGTCTCCTTTTTTTGGAATAGTGTGAACAAGCAGCAGGTGGTAAGTCTTTACCTAGTTCCAGGAGCTCTTGGAGGTTCCTCATGGCATTGGTCATTTCCCCCAGCTTTATGTACACCTCATTCATCCGTGGATAAACACCATTCAGAGAATTCACATCAAACAACTTCTGGAAGTGGGAGACTATGGCAGACAAGGTTTGCAAGGAGTGTGTCTGGCTGTTCTGGAGCAAGCAGGAAGAACTCATCAATTGTACTGCTTAATAAGGCAAGAGTACTTTAAGCTATGAAACATTCTTAAAACCAGTCTGAAGAACAGGTGTAACTTCCCTTACAAAATCTCAATGTTTCAAATATTTTTAAATCTGAAGACACAGTTTCAATAGTTTTCAGGCACAAGTATACACCAAACTCCAAATACTCTTTTGAAAGCTTCCTTCTCTGTTGCTAAGAGAAGCATTTATGTATTCTCAGCCCTGAGAGACAGAACAGGATAATTCCTGAGACTACAGGGCAATGCAAATTCACTGCTGGTCAAGTGCCTTTGATTAAAGCAATCTTCCCCAAGGTGAATTTATCCATTATGTTAAAAGAGTCTTTGACTACTGAATGTCTTCAAACAGGTATTTCTTAAATGCTGCAAGGCTTTCAAATGCACCAATCTAATCACTGTGTGAAGAATGCATTTAAGAACTCCACAGTAACTTGTGATTATAAATCTCTGGTAAGAATTACCTTTTCCTTATGTTCTAATTCTTCCAAAATTGCATCTACTATCAACTGGAGGTCTTCAACTCGTATGGATTCTCTGTTGTCCTGTGGATCTTTAGTGTTCCAAGGCAGCAATTCCAGAGATAGTTTTCTCAAGGACCTATGCAAATCCTTAAGAAAGGAGGAGAGCCAACTTATTTTAGAAACTGCTTAAAGTTGTTTTTAGTATAGAAACAGACGTTTTTCTGTTTCTCATATGCAGAAAACATTCCAGCACTGGAGAGGTTAAGGTTTTAATTTTCATGAATTTAAGGATAGTATCTTGCTGACATTCTTTGATTTGAAAAGAACAGAGTAAAAAATATTATATTTGCTATGTATTACAGTTTAAGTGAAATAGGAAGTATTGGTCACAAAGAGTTTGGCTTTAAACAAAACTATTTCACTTGTATTTGGATCAAAAAGTCACTGGTCAGACAAAAGGAAGGAAGAGAATGCACCTTCATCAATGTGTGAAGTCCAGACTCTGAAGCTTAAGTTTCTTCTCAGGGACTCAATCAATAAAATGAAATAGAAGATTTACACAGAGAAGTATCTCTGGTATATATTTCACATGGACAGCAGATTATTTGTAAAATTTAACACCAGGTCAGAAAATAACAAAAGCTACATGTAAAAACTGCCCCCAACGACACATAGAGAGGGATGGAGGAGAGGAGAACAGATGAAAGGAAACCAAAAAACAGAGTACAACAACGTGTTGTTACCTTTAGGGCTATGAGCTGATCTGCCCACATTTCTACAGTGAGTGGAAGGTGCTCAAATCCACATCCCTGCCCATTCTCTTTATTGTCATTCTGCACTGGCCCTTTGCTGGGCCGGAATATTAACGGAGGAGCTCTTGGGCTTTGCAAAATAGAATCAATATGGGACAAAACCTTCAAGAACAAATAACAAATGTTATTGCTCAAATATGTACAATGTTTTGTAATAAAATCCCTCTCTATCACAGTCATGGTTGTCAAAAATTAAGTCATAAATAGCTCCAATATTACTATTGAGTGATTTTACACATGCATTCAACATGCAATAGACTCAAAGATTTCAACATATACTAGCTAGAAGATATGTAAAAGTAATGTAAGTATATACTTCCCTTTGAGGGATAGTTAACATTTATCCACTTGAGGCACTGTAAATTCCACAATTTACAGTTTGCTAAGTTTTATTATAGTTAGGCTTTTTAATTAGAAGAAAAATAAAGGCCACTTTATTTTCCACCCAAGATCTTATCACCCAAGATCTTGAACAAATCCCCTGTCCTGAACAGACTTCAGCTAAATCATATTTACCAGCCTAGTGTCTGCTGCCTTGCTGTGTTTTCAGGTAGTTTACACTGAGACAGAACAAGAACAAGCCTACCCTGACTGCCAAATCCAGAACATGACTCATCTTGCACAGAGGATTTGATAGGCATTCTTAGCCTCAGACCAGCACAATTGACACAGCTAAACAAAACAGGTAAAACATTTCATTGTAACAGCGCTAGAAACATGCAGAACAGATACAATTTGGGTACCTGCAAGTATTGCTGGCAAGCTGCCTGCAGCTGATCCACAATGGCAACTCTCCCAGAGTCTTTCTTTTCTTCTTTTTTTTCTCCAGTCCTACTCCCTGAAAATCTGCACAAAATACACACAGTGGGTCACACAAGCAGCCTTAGCAGGAGATGCTACCTTTTAACTTGGAGGAAGAACCAGGTGTGTAGCATTTAAGCTCAAACATACAAAGTCAATATCTACGTTATGATGCTGGGCAACAGAATTCATTCAGACCCAAGTAGCACAGACTGACAACACAATACCCAATGCAAATATCATTAATTTATCTCAAGTCTCCAGGCTGAGGCTATGCCAGACTGCTTGCTGATCTAGAAGGGACACCCTCAGTTTTTGTGTTGCCAGAGTTCTACTATGGCTGAAGACCTAAAATCCAGAATTTTACTCTAAAGGCTCAAATTCCAAACTCAGTTATTATCCACTTCTGCTGGAATATCTTTCCTGGCTTATTACACAAAGCTCACTACTGCTTTTCATCCAAATGATACCTACTGCACGAGAGACTAGACCATTTCAATATATACAACAGGTCTGGTTTTTTTTCAAGTTAAGGTGATGTCTTTTTCAGGCTAGAAAACATTTAGCATTCAGTATACACAAGGGCAAATGACTAAGTGAAATTACAGTTAAAAACACTTCATTAGTACTAGAACTTTTTATACCTTCCATGTATTTTCTTAGCAATATTTCAGAAAAAGTCAATTTCTAAGAATAATCTGGACATAACTTCAGTAGCTGCAACATTTTGCCAACTCACACTTTCCCATTTATAATCCATAATGAAACCAATAACTTCCTTTACAGCTTATGGAAGCAGCAAACACCAGAGATGGCCCTGTACATATTGCCAGAAAAAGAGCTCAAATCAAATCCAGAAAGACAAAATGAAATAAAAAACCCCACACTGCTGTGCCCCCATTTGGAGACCCTGCCATCTTTTCAGAAATAGAGGGCTGCAGAGGTCCAGCAGGACTTGCTATCCATAACCAGGCTCCAAAGAATGCTGATAAGGCACATGGTCTATAAGCTACTCTCTACATTACAGGCTGCAGAGTAACCTTGCATTCAGAAGTCCAGAGGATTCATGAAAGTCCCTGAAAGACTATACTTACTGGGTAGTTTTCTTTAAAGCTTTCTGTAGTTTCTTCACTTGGTGCTTGTAAAATTTTAATTCCTGTGCAGCTGGCCTGCTAGACAGAAAAAGTACCATGTTATATGTCTTGCATTGGAAGGTATCTATAAAATTCATCCAAGCAAAAAAAGTAAAAAAACTTTGCCAGGGCCAAAAAATCATTCTGGAAATTAAATTCTGCTATATTTCTGCATGACAACAGCAATAAAGAGTAAACTAATCATTAGCAGCTGTTATTAACAGTGTAGGGAGAACAGTGTGGCTGTTGCTGCCATATCTCATTTCTTTGATCACAGATTTCACACTTGACTTTTACAATTGCTGGTGCTTGTAAAGCAAAGTCTGCTGAAATGGCCTTGCAAAGAATGATACTTATCCTTTCTCACCTTATTTCCAAGTTTTTCTTGAGATTTATATTTTCAAGCAAAAGCTGTTCACTCTTGGCTTTTGTTTCAGTAAGCTGCTTCTGGAAAGACTGCAACAGAGACTGGGTTATTGCTTCTATTGCCCTCATTTCATAATGAACAAGCTTCAACAATTTAAAGTGTGTGCATGTTAAGAAGGGTTCCCAATTGCCTGGACAGCAAAGCAGCATGGATGAGGACTCAGATGATTGAGCCCAAGAGCCTGGTGCATTAGACCCCAGGTGGAGCACTGTGACCAAAGGAGGTCTATGCAATCCTCAGCAGACACACAGCATTTTGCTGAATCTTTGCACAAGGACAGGGACTTTGCCCATAGAGGTTACAAGTTCAGAAGACATGACAAGAACAAGAGACAGAAAACAAACATGTTTATGTTTCTATGTGGCTCTTGAAGGGTTACCATTGAGAGATCTGCACTGACTTATTCTTGGCAGTTCCATACCATGAGCAGTGCTTTGTAATTAGGAGTAGCATCTAGATTTAAGAACTCTTCCTTGGTTTTTACTTCTCTCTGCACCTCATCTTCATCTTTTTTATATTGCCTATTGGGAAAAATAAATTAGTTCAGCTTAGTGCCGTTCATTTAGCTCAAAAATTTCAGTTGGTTTAGTTAGCAGTTATGTATGATAATAATGTTTCCATAAACTACCAAGTAAATAGAATAGATATTCTGCCCTAAGATTCCTGCTCTAATTTCTGGGAAAGCTGTTTCATATGCTAATGAAATGCACTTATCCACAGGAGAAACTCCAGTACAAGCAAATCCCATTTCAGTTTTGTCAACAGTAATCTCAAACTATAGAATGTCTCAGGTATCTGTTGCTTTGTGCCATGCAAGCACTGGGATAGAGCTGAAAAACTTTAGTTTTGGGAGATCAATCAACTGAGCACAGCTAATGCAGTAATTCTGCCTGTGAACCATGGTAAAAGAGAAATGGGAAGAAAAAGAAAGAAAGCAAGAAAGAAAGACATAGTTCAAGTATCTGAATACCCCAAGCCTCCTAACTGTCCTCGTCTCCTGGCTGAGAAGCTGCTTAGCCTGACTGCCAGTTATTCTCTGGAAAAATCTAAATTTCCATGACTATTATAACCCTTTGTTATTTCTTACATGCTAGTGCTACCTGGAGCACAGAATATTTACCATTATAGAATTTAAGAATAGTAAGGGCTAAAAAAAATTTGAACAGTAGAACCACAGGGCATTCAATGAGACCTACCTCAGCTCCTTTTTAATCTGACTAATTTGAGATTCATAATAGTCAATTAGACAAAGGTACCTGAAGAAAGGAAAAATTCATTTTGAATTTCAGATATTCTCACAAAACTCATACTGTGACCAACCCAGAGGAACAGGTCAGCTCACACAGCTGCACTGCACTTTGGAAGTGGCTGCTCCAAACAGTGGAGTTTCTCTCATACCAGACAACCATGGTCTCACTTTGCCAAAATGGAAAAGTAGACACATTGAATCTGTGCTAGTTTGGAAACAGCAAAATATTCAAGAGGAGAAAAAAGTTAAATCTGCCCACCAGCCTCCTCTTCTTATGCTTGTGGTTGCCCAGCAAGATTAACAGAGAGGCACAGTCAAAATAAAGTGTCTTGAGCACTCTGAGATTGTCTGGTTTGGAGAGACAGATGAGGGAGGACAGGAAACTAAATTCAGCGATCCTTCCTCTGATACAGTGAGGGCTCAAGGAAAAAGCTGAGCACACACAATCTCTCTTAAAGCTTCCCAGGTAAACACTGCTGGCCAGACCTAGAGAGTTGATTTTTTATCAGCACAATAAAGCAATGGCTACCTGAGGCCTAGGAACTGGCAAATGCCTGATTGTAGCAGAGCTATGGAAATCCTACTAGCAAGAGACACAGCTCTGTGGCACTTTGGGAACTTACCCAAAAGTACTTGGAAGCTTACAAGCAAGCCTGCAGTCAGCAGTTGCAAACATCACTTCCCAAAATCAGAAAGGCTCTTTTTAGGGGGGCTAAGGATGGTGTTTGCTGGGGGGGTTGTTTATTTTTAACTTACATTTTTAAATGTTAGAATTCCAGGATGAGATCATCCCAGCCAACACTGCAGCTACAGAGCAGAGTGAATCATTCCCTTCCCTTTGCTGACATCTAGTGTGTGCAGTGGGTGGCAATTTTTTAATTTCTGCCATGGATTTATCTGGCTTACAGTTTCACAAAAGAAAAATATCACTGCACTGAGGTACCTTCACAAGAATTCGTATTTCATCTTGTACTCCTAAAGTCTCCAGGTTACTTTTTTCCCCATATAAATAGCAAGAAGCATTACATTAAAATGTGTTTCTTCATTTAATGTTGCAGGGATTCAGCAGTAGAAGAGAATCACTTACCGCTGATCCAGGACAGACTTGGGAGCTCTTTTGCAAAACTGACAAAACATTTTGTTTTGAGTGTCAGCTCGCTGCTGCTCCTCCCTCCCAACTCTGCTGAGCTCCTTCTGCAAGCGGGCAATGATCTCTTCCTGTTCTTGCAGCTTTTCCTGCTGCTGTTGGTATTTCACCTGTGAACAAGCAATGGGACTGTTACTGAATTATTCTGACCCACAAGCTGACTGTACTGCACAAGCCCAGGTACACATTTGGAACCAAGGAAAATGAGCACTTGGGTTTTAGCTGTGCTGAAGAGACAGTGGAAGAGGAATACAGATATTTTTCTAAATTATTTCTAGAAAATTCTGCATAGTTTGAAAATACTTAGCTATAAACAGTGTACTAACCCTATGACTCAAGATTCATGTTTATTTAGATCAATATAAATATTTTGACACTTTTCACAAGTCAAAAGTTTGAATCCTCAGGCAGCACTATTTGAATTACCCGTGAAGCCTGTTGCTCTTTTTGAAGTTCCTTGACTTGGCTCTGTTGCTGGCATGCTTTAGCTATTGTTTCATCTTCCAGCTGACAAATTTTGGCCTTAATGTTTTTCACCACATTTTCCAAATCATTAGCCCGTTGCTCTTGCCGAGATGCCCGACCTTGTTCCAGTCGTACCACATCTCTGAAAAAAGAAATGAATCCTTGCCTTTAACTTAAACTCATTTCACTATAGACAGTGCAGGAAGCACACACCTGACATTATGTGCTGACCTTTGATAACATCCTCTAGCAGCATGGGCATGGTATGGGAAATACACTGATATGAGAAGAAGCAGCGGATGAAACAACAGAAGAGCATGAAAGGAACTGAGACAACATTGCTGCATATTGAACAATAACCTCAGGAAAAAGGTCTTAGGCCTCTGGTGAGATAAGATCTCCACCAGGCCGCAGATGCAATACTCCAATACTGATAATACTTTTACTCTGCAGGTAAATTCCTTCCACTGTCTTACCTAAGACATCGATTTGCCTCCATAAGTCCCTGCATTACTTTCTGCTGTCGCTCAATGTCTTCCACCAGCGTTTTTAACGCAAGTCTTATTCCTTGAGAAGACTCATGGTCTAGGACAATCATATCTGGACACAAAACATAAGCAAAGTCACAATGAAGCCAAAGAAGATTGCCTGTTTGCTGCCACTAGGAAGTGACAGCTTTGGAGATGCCTTATGAACTTACGGTTACTATTTCCGAATACAAAAATTACATTTCCTGATGTACATTACCTGATGTATCTCTGCAGCTTTGGGGGGCAGCAAGACTCACAGGTTTCAACCCATGACGCATTAATATCCTGTTTAGGTTTTCCCACTCTGCCTTCTCCTGCTGCATTGGGAGAAAGGGAAAATGAGGCAGAAACCTGAGTTCTTCGCATGAGCTGTGCAGCAGAAGGTACCAAATGCCCACAAAGTAAAGTAAACCAACCCCAAACCCCCCAAGAGGCCACTACAGGAGGGCTTGTGAGAAGCTCCAACAGGATCTGCAAAGCACATTAGGGAAAAGCGTACTTAACACCACACAGCATGATCAGTTTTCCTGATCCCTACTGAAAGCAGAATACGCGCAATGAGTTAAATTCTCCTCTTTAGGAACCCCAAACCACCGGCCCTCGGCTCCCTCCAACGCACCCGGGGCGCAGCGGCCCCGCCGCGAGCGGAGCCCTCAGGGAGGCGGCGGCGGCTCTGGGGGTTCACGGACTGCTCCATGGCGTTTTGTCCCGCTCCAACCACCCAGCAGCGACACCCGGGGCCAGCAGAGTACCTGGGTCATGGCGAGGGCCGCAGGGCAGGAGAGGGGCCGCTCCTCAGGCCGCGGAGCCGCTCGGGCGGGAGCGGAGCGGCGGGAGCGGCGGGCGGGGGGGCCGCGGGGCGGTGCTGCGCGGGCGCCGCCATATTGCGGCGCGGGAGGCGAGGGGAGGAGACCGGGCGGAGGTAGGAGCGGGGACACGGCGGGAGCTGCGGCGGGCGCGGGGCTAATAAAAACAAAAATTAAAGACAGGAAGAAATGGAAAAAGCTCGTTGCTGGCGGTAACGGTGGGGGCAGATCTGCCGTCTTCGGAGCTCATGCATTTCCCGGTATGCCACCCTGCGATGAGCGCTGCCGGGATTAGATGGATGGTCTGGGAGCCGTAATCCCAGCCTAGTTTTCAGAACGAGCCCTTCCGTGTAAAGGAGTAAACACCGCCTCGGGCTGCTGAGTTGGTCGGTGAATAGAAGCGGTGGTGCAGCGGTGCTGTGTGTCCCTGGTTCGGAGCAGGGGCCGCAGGCACCGCGCCCGCTCCCTCACGGAGAGCGCCCGGCTTTCCCTTGGGATGCGGGGGAATCGCTGGCCTCAGCAAACACCCCTGGCTAGAGTCTGCGTTCGGCCTTGGTGCAAAATAAATGTGTATCGCTTCATTACTATGATTTGAGGGGAAAAAATAAAAAAGGAATTTGTGTGTTCTGGGATGCTTCCTAACCCTTTCAGCATTGATCCTAAATGATGCCTAAAACGCACACCGCAGGATGCGGCCTGCCCGGGTGATGAGGGCTCTGGGCTGTCCGGGACACCTCTTTGGGCATGTCCCGAGGCCGCCCCTTGTGCTGATCCCTGCCCGGCACACGCGGGTCTGTGCCGAACCTGCTCCCTGGAGCCGAGGAGGGAAATATTCCCTGCCTGACTCCCACCGTGTGCCCGGGGATGCCGCCTTCGCAGGACCCAGAAACTTCAGGAGCGGCCAAAACAACCTCCTCATTGATTAGCACGTTTATTATTAGCACGTTTGTTTATTGATAGGTACAGACATGACCGATCATGATGAAATTAATGAGTGAAAATAATACACTAAAAACCGGTGGTTGTAAAACACCGTCGCGGTCTAAAATCCACTTAAGTAAGAAATTAGTTCCTTGTGGCTCACATAGATTTTGTGACTGAATTGCGACGTCAAATTTACTAATGTGCTTGTTGAAAGCTGCTACAGTGGTTTAGAAAAGGGAGGAAGTGAAATCATTGCATGTGCTATTTCCAGTCCCATATTCATTGTGGTCTGGGACTGAGATGGGCAGCTCTGGATTGGGTTCCTGCTTTGGTCAAACTGTTAATTTCTAAACTCTGGCAGCCCATTTTTCCATCCAATAACTGACAAAATTATGAGGAGCTAGTAAAGGTAGGACAAACTTTAGTAGCACTTATTTGGTTTTGTAAAATAAAATATTTTAAAAAATACTTGCCTTTCTGTCTTAGAGAAAGATGGTTGTATTCTAAGTGTTTTTATTTTATCATATATATGACAGCACTGCATGTTAGTTAATGATGCTAAATGTCCTTTATCTTAGCTGGAGAAAATGATGAAACTTTAGCGCTTCTCTCCTACTATTCTGCTTTTCTATTTTTTCTTGCTGCTAATTGGATTAAAAGCTCTTTTGGCTTCTATGGCATCCGGTGAGGAGATTACTGTCTGTGATGATGAAATAAGGTAAAAAATCAGAACTGTGATATGAGCAGATTTGGAAAGATATCCACAGTTCCAATGGTCACTTATGACTGTATCTAAACTTTAAAAATTACTTGAAGAAAAGGATATCTTACCAGATCCATTCCCCTGTGTCTGTGTGTGCAGAGTTGCATATCTGAATGATGTAGGTAGTGTTTATGAGATTAGAGACAAATCTGTTAACACAGCAAATAGCTAAACTGGTCATACTATTTTTTCAAGTCTAAAAAGCTGAAACACTTTCTTTTTTGAGACCAATAAAATAATATATTTTAATGCCTACCAAGAAATAGCAGAACTGTCCAGAAGTATCTTAAAACTAAATAAAATTTTGTTACCTATTGTCACCTGAATTTGGAGTTGTAGAGGTTAGATGGGTAGCTGTGTCTTTGTACTGTTTGTCAAAATGAGTCTGTTTAACTGTTTATATTTTTTGATGTTTTGGCATATCTGAATGTCTGAAAAACATGAAATTATAAGCAGTTCTGTAAGCTTATTCTTCAAGTCTCATTTTGTATTTGCAAAAAGTGCAAATACAAAAGCAGAAGAAGCAGTAAAGCTTTGAACTGCAGACATTGGGACTTGAACTTTCAACGACAATTAATTTACTTTGTTGGTTTCTCCTTAGGTCTCGGTACAGCCACTTAGAGAAGATGACAGATTTGGTGGCTGTTTGGGAAGTAGCTTTAAGTGATGGTGTTCATAAGATTGAATTTGAACATGGGACCACTTCAGGAAAGCGTGTTGTCTATGTTGATGGAAAGGTGAAATTGCTATGTGCTCAAAATTCACTGTTATACAGATTATATAAATGCACTTCCTTGCAACACACATCACAACAAACAAAAGACTAATAAATGCAAGTGAGGTACATTCACTTAATTACCTAGTTTAATAAAATGCATGATTCTTTTTTTCAGTTCCAATTAAGGTGTGAGTATTCATGAAGTGCTTTGCTGTCCTTGGGCAGAGGCACTCTGTGCATACAAAGCACCATGTATGCATTCATTCCCAAACAGTTGTTCAGTACTGAGCTGTCTCCTGAGTTCCAGTTCAATTTTTTTAATATTAAAACATGCACTCAGGTTTTTCAATTAATACCCTCTGTTTTTGTTTTTTTTCTACAGGAAGAAATAAGAAGAGAATGGATGTTTAAATTAGTGGGTAAAGAAACATTCACTGTTGGAGCTACTAAAACTAAAGCTGCTATTAACATTGATGCAGTCAGTGGCTTTGCATATGAATATACTTTGGAGATCAATGGAAAGAGTCTCAAGCAGTATATAGAGAACAGGTTAAAAACAACCAATACTTGGATATTGAACTTGGGAGGTACAGACTATAGAATTGTTCTAGGTAAGTAAACATTGAGTGACTACATGTTGCTGCCTTTGAATAAACTTGTGTGCATTTAGAAACTGGTAACTAAGAGAAAGCACAGTTCTGATGGAGCTCTGATGCTGTATAAAATCCTGGGGGATGTAGAAGTATGGAATGAGATGCCAAAGACAGTCTGAAAGGTAATGGTCTTGTTATACATGTGTGAGTCTACAGGAGCATGGTCTAGATTTGGGTGGGGGGAAGTTGGGAGGCCTTACTGCTGCTGCCTCCACAGAGCTGCCCTGGCAAGGCAGTTCTCCAGGTGAAGCCTGCTACAGAAATTTTACCAGCATTGTGATCAAACCTCACATGGGTCTGAATTTGTTCAGCAGGTAACCAGGCTTTCCTTCCAAAAATCATCAGCCATGGTCAAGAAGTCTTTATCTGAAGTGCAACAATGTTATTCCATATTTTTGAGAGATTGATGAGCATCCTTTTTTCTGCATCACTTCTTATCTACAAACTTAAACTAAAACTTTCCAATGATGTTCTTTCACTTTCTTAATAGTAAGGCAATACATTGCATCTGTTCTGCCCTCCCTTTCCCAGTTCCATTACAAGCAGGTGGGAGGAAGGGATCCTGTGAGGAATTTGTCCGTGGCATCTAGTGGGAAAACTTCCACTTGGGCACTGCTGTATGGTTAGAGCTGGAGACAAGAGATCTCAGACTATGATTTCTTCTTAAACCTCAGGACAAAATGAACTGCCCTAAGATGAAGGGGAGCAATGAAGAAAGACAGTTTTAGACAGAAACAGTTAAGTCTTCATAGAATTTTAATCTCACTATGCTTACTGGAAAGACAAGCAGAGTTCAGCTCTCTGATGTTGTGTCAATGACAGTGTCAGTAAAGGGAATTCTACAGCAAAGTAATTTAAGGAAGATGTGCTGGGAGAAGTAAAAGAATATTCTGCTTCAAGTTCAAAAAACCCCTAAGATTGATATTTAAAGTGATACTTGGTGCTTTCAAAATATTAAGAATACAGACCGTTTGATGGATGCTAAATAATGCTGGTTTTGAATTAATTTGACCTGGAAAAAGAGAGCTTTATTGAATAACCAGCACTCAAATAATTAGCAGAAATTACTTCACTTTTTGGTCTTGTAAATTTTTTCAGTTTAAGACTGTCAGAGTATCTCTGGCACTATTCAAAACAACACAGTGTTAATAGCCAGGGCTAGGGAGGGGTAAAAATGTATCTTCTAAGCAAAAGTTGATGGCAGAGCCTCTTCTCTAACCAGTGTGAGAGCAAGCCCTGTAGCTCAGGTATTACACCTACTTAGGAACTCCTTTTGGGAATTAAAAGTAAAATTCAACAGTAGATTTTTAAAATTCCTAGATCCTTGTTTGTAGGGCCAAAAATAATTACCTTGCTTTTTCTACCTTGTTTTTCTTTTCCTTCACAGAAAAGGACACTATGGATGTGTGGTGCAACGGTCAAAAAATGGAAACAGCGGTATGTGGTCCTTTCCAAAGGCTCTTCCCAGCCTATGGATATATAAGCAAAGCTTGGCAGAATAAGCCCCAGAGGGGCACACTATCTCCCTTTACCTAAGAGGCCAAAGCAGCCAGGATGCTCCTGGTCTGTTCCAGATGACCTTCACTGAATTTTATAATGGGCAGTATTTCAGTTCATATGTCAAACATCTGCAAGTTAAGGATAAATGATGCTTTTCTTTAGCCTTTTCAAACGAACAAAAGAAACTTGAGTCAGTTGTGCGGGGTTTTTAGGGAGAAAACTTTCTGGTGATTGGGAAGGATTTGAGTTTGATGAAGAGTGTAGAGGCACTGCATCCAAACCTGCTTGTGATAGTTGTCACTGAAAGTTGAACACATGTAGTCTGTTATGACTCATGCTTTTTACCATTTTGAGATGCTCCTAATACTTAGGGCTTAAGAGCCTCATTGGAACAAGTCAAATCTTTTATCTTGATCACATCTGCATTAATTTTCAGAGTAGGCTGACAGCTAGGTAGTTTAATCTGTTTGGTGTCTTTCTGGTTTTTGATGATTTTCAATATGCACACCAGGTAGGCTTCCCCATCCTTGAAGGATGTGCTTTCTCACCGGGGGGTGTCAAAGTTTTTACTGCTGCCACAAGGAAATCCCTGGATCAGTACAAATGGTAAAATCAACAGTTCTGCTATACCTGAGAGGAGGATGAAAAGATTCACCAAATGTTTGCTTAGTAATCAGTGGAAGAAGCCTCGTCTTCCAGTAAATCAGGACTTCTGCTCCTG